CCACCCGCTGCCATCCTCACACTGCAGGTCACGTGAGCCGTCCCATCAACCCGTCACCCTTCCTGGGGCTCAGGGATGGGTTCCCAGAATGCTGGATATGGCATTCTTAATCAGCTGCTGCCAACCTATTAAAAATGGTGGTTTGAGCTGGGCGTGGTGGCACGCGTCTGTAATGCCAGCACAGGAGAGGCTGAGGCAGGAGGACTACCTGGAGTTCGAGGCCAGCCTCAGCTATGTAGTGAGTTCAAGGCCACCTTGAACTCTACTATACAGCGAGACCCTGTCTCAAAGAAACAAACAAACGAAAATAAAAATGGTGGTTGATGTCAGATGTCGTGAGCACGCCTGTAATTCTAGCTACCAGGCAGCTGAGGCAGGAGGATCCCAAGTTTGAGGCCAGCTTGGGGAACTTAGTAAAAAAATGAGAAAGTAGCAGTGGAGAAGAAATATATTTGTCTACCCTGACAGAAATGGATGTGCAAAATAAGATTGGAGGAGAGAAATGATAATCAGCAGAGGTTACAGCTAGAAACCGCTCTGCCTTTGGCTTCTTTCTTTATTCACGTTCCTCAAGGCTCTTGAGGGTCTCGCTATGGGACAGGAAAGAAGTAGGTGAGGGTTTCATTCATCCACTCGACAGATGCTAAGTGTCTGCTACAGCCAGCACTGCTGTAGGGTCAGGGCGTGCAGCGGTGGGTATCCTTCTGCTGGTTGGGATTCAGAATTGATTGCGTGAAATTGACACGATCAAAATGTTATTCACTTATAAAATGGCAAATGTTTATTTTGTTTTGGGGATTAAATCCAGAGGGCATTGAGTTACATCTCCAGTCCTTTTTCCTTAATTTTTAATTTTTTGGGACCAATTCTTGCTCATTTGTCCAGATGAGGCTCAAACTGGCATTCCTCCTGCCTCAGCCTCCTGCATAGCTGGGATTACAGGCATGTTGCACTGTACCTGGTTTAAAGAGGTTGGCCTGGTGGGTGCAACTGGGGAGTGCGACCCAGACAAGTGCTGAATGCCCTGGGAATTTTCAATGAGTAGGAACAAATGGGGTGAAGGAAGGAGGGCAAAGCATTCCAGGTGGAGGGAACAGCATGTGCAAAGGCCCTGTGACAGGAGAGCCTGGGCAAGTCCATGAGCTCACAGAACTCATTCCAGCCACTCAGTTCCACGCAGAGTTTCAGGTGGTCTCAGGTGACCTGGGGGAGAGCAGAGACACAGGCTGGACAAAGCCTGGGTCCCTGAATGTCGGTGTGAAGCAAACTGTCCCCAAAGTCCTGCCCTGAGTGTGACAGGATGGAGAAGTACACCTTCCCTGGGTTAAGCCACCGACACTCTGAGTCAGCCAAGCCTGAGACAGTTTGTGGCTGGCGCAGTGGTACGTGGGGCAAGACGAAGCTGGGACATGAGCAGGTGGCAGACTGCACAGGACCTTGTGGGGCCACATGACCGAATTCTGGCCAAAGGAACGTGAGCAGAGGTGACAGGAACAGCTTCGGGACTGTGCCTTCAAAGGCAGGCGACCTAGCTGGGCATGGTGGTGCACATACCTGTAATCCCAGCACTCTGGGAGGCCGAGGCAGAAGGATCTCAGGTTCGAGCCCAGCCGGAACAGCTACATAATTTAATGAGACCTTGTTTTAAAATAAAAAAACAAGAAAGGGACCGGGGATGTAGCTCAGCACGCAGGCCATGGGTTCCATCCCCACTACCACAAAGAAACGAGAGAAAGAAGAGAGAGGACCTGTTTGCATGGCTCCCCTCCCTGTGAGTTGGAATCACGACATCCTGAACACACCGCACCCTGAGGAGAGGGTCAGGCCACAGGTGAGGGAGTGGGGGTCCCTGCGGAGCCTCACCAAGGGAGTCTGTGTTCACTGACAAACATTCCTGGCCGTCTGAGGAGGTGATCACTAAATCGTCATGCAAATAAATATTGAATGACCCAACAGGAAATAAAGAACATGCCAGTGTCCCAGGGGGTGGGTGGCCACCAGGGGGTCTCTGAGGAACGTGAAGCTTTGGGGGACCGGGGTCACAGTGCTTCTTAGGGTGCTGTTCCAAGGGGAAGTGGGTTCTGCGGTAGCCTGGGCCAGAGGAGCCGGGGATGCCAGCTGGTGACTAAGGGGGTGGCTGCAGTGTCACCTCTGAGACTCAGGCAGCTGTGTAAACCACGCCCCTCCCTGCAGCCACCAGACTGAAACGAGTGACTTCTCTTCCGCCAGTGGATGGAAGGGGAGAGGGCGCTAGAGCAGGACACTGAGGTGGAAAGGAAGCCGCTAGATGGGGCTTTGGAGCCAGCCAGACCCTGGGGGGGACACGGCAAGGCCAAGGTGGCCCTGGAATCTGCCACCTACAGGTGGCTGCTGGGGCATCGATCATTAGTTTTCAAGTGTCCAGGTTTAGAGCTGCCCTGCGCCTTCAGTTAAGGTGCTGTGACCCCAGCACTCTGGGAGGCTGAGGCAGAAGGATCACAAGTCTGAGTCCAGCCTAAGCAACTTAGTGATGTCGCTCAGATGTCTTCTCCTCCGGGGAGCCCCCCGCCGCCTGGCTTAGACTCCCCAGTGCCCCCTGGCTCCCTGGGGCCCCTCACCCCAGTCCTGACGGCCATCGGAGTCTATGGCTGACCCCCATGGGCTCTCACCATCACCTTGGTTACCAGAGCGTCCCTGGCACGGCCCGGGCAGCTGATGCAAGGGTAGAGAGGGAGTCCTGGGAATCCCGTCGCTGCCACGGGATGGCTCGGGTCGTCGGGGGCAATAAGATTTTAAAGTTGCTTTTTCCTGGCGGATCAACCAGAAGCAGACGGAAGCTGCTGCCGGAGCTGGCTGGGGAGCCGAGGCGGCCCAACGCAGCCCTGCCCTGTCCTCCCACCCCACTCGGGACCTCTCTGCTGCCCCAACGCCTCCGTCTTCTCTCTCCGCCGGCTTTGGCATCCACCCAGCTCTCTCTGTGCCATTTCTCCCGTCAGGGAAACCCCGCTGTTCCTGCTGCCGCCTCGGGGGCTCCATGAGCCAACATGGGACGGTCCCGGAATTAGTAACAAGGGTCGTGCTCACTAGTATCCTGCAGAGCTAGGCCCTGTCCTTTTAATACATTAACCTGCCGGCCTTGCTGAATGCTCACAACTCTACTCTGGACTGGGCACTGTCGTTTCCCCAATTTTGTGGGTGAGGACGCTGAGCCACAGAGACGTCAAGGCACTGGTCCGAAGACGCACAGCCGGGAAGGGACCGGAATTCAAATTCCAGTGCCTGTGCTCTGACCGGATCCTCTCCTGGTGATCGGCTGGCTGTACTGAGAGGACACGAGGTGGGAGCCGGGGGGAGCCCCGCGCAGGTCCTGAGAGGGTTTTCCTAAGTTCACCCGTTTGGGCCGTCGTCTCTCATCTGTGAAATGGGCTCGGGAGCCACGAGGTGGCGGGAAAAGAGAAAAGAGGTGACATCCTGGGTCGTGGAAGGTGGCATCGAAGGTGGCCGACTGGAGGCAGGAGCGCCAGAGTGCAGAGGTCGCGGGGAGGGGACTCCCGCTGTTGCTGCCTGCACCGAGCTCCCTGTTGCGGGCCCAGCTCAGCACCGTCAGGGTCACCACATGGTGGCTGAGGCACCGGAGATCGCCCCAGGTGGCGCTGGGACGTCTGCAGTGGCACTTGGCTGGCCGCACGCACCAGGGCCCGAGGGGGTGACGGTGCCCAGCTGCCGCGTGGTAACCGGCCTCCTCCGCCTCACTCCAGCTCACCCCAGGCCTCGGCGGCTTCCAAATGCTTTACTTCCGGGGGAACTAAATCGGTCCCCTGGGGTCAGCAGCGATAGGACAGAAGCGGTTCCTGCCCTCCTGGTGGGGACCCAGTCACAGCAGATGGACACGTATGCAGGTAGTGCAGGTGTGATGAGTGCTGCCAAGGAAATAAGAGGGTTGAGCGGGGGATTGGAGGTGGTCAGCAGGGTCAACAAGGGCCTCTTTGAGGAGGTGGCATTTTATGCAAAGGCCTGAAGGAGGTAAGGGACGTGGTGAGTAAAGAAGTGCTTTGAGCAGAGGGAGCCGCAAGTGCAAAGGCCCTGAGGTGAGTGTGAGCCTAAATGTGCTTAGAAGAGGGAAGAAGGAGACTGGGGAGGTAATGGGGGTGGACCGCAAGGGATCTCCTGGCCCTGGCCCTCTGTGAGGACTTTGTGAGTGAGGCAGGACTCACGGGAAGACTGAGCAGAGGCAGGGAGAGGGCAGACTTGAGCTTGAATAGGGCCTTACCGTTACGGTGTGAGAAATCTGTAAGGATGCAGGTGCGGAAACCTGGAGTCCATGGTTCTCTTTCCTCACGTTTTTCAGCCAAAAGGTTTTGAGGTACGGGGGTCCTTAGGGCCAGGCCTTGCGTCAGAGAGGGGCACATCTGGGGTTTGACGCTGGGCGGCCCGGCATGAGTCATGGGCCGGGAAGCTGCGTGCGGGGCTGAGGTGCTACGTGTGCCTGGCAGAAAGGAAAGGCGGTGCCCGGGCCTAGCTTCGAGGGAGGCGAGGGGGCACCCGCGGAACATACGGGGTAACGCACGGGTGTCAGCCCAGGGAGATCCAGGCGTGGGGCGCGTTTGGAGCAGGGAAGAAAATGTTACAGAGAACAGCACCGCAGCGTCGCCAGCGGGACGCAGGCCAGGGCCTCCCACAGCCGCGGCAGTGAAAGCGCTGTGCCACCCGCCCTGCCATGCGCGCCCAGAAGCTGAGGGATTCGCTCCTTGAATCCTCACAGCACTCCTAGGAGGCAGACGCCATGGTGGTTTTCCTTTTCAGGGGAGCGGTGATTGTGGGGATTGAACCCGGGGCCTTGACACTGAGCCACATCCCCAGCCTTTTTAAAAACTTTGAGACGGGGTCTCCCTAAGTCACTGTGTTGCCCAGGCTGGGCTCACACTCTGGATGCCCCTGCCTCAGCCTCCCAGAGTGCTGGGATCGCAGGCGTGCGTGTGCCGTCACACCTGGGCGATCTTTATTCTTTCTCCATCTCCCAGTGCAGTGTATTCTGGTACGGGGACGATGGACGCGGACAGGAGGTGACAACGGCGCAGACCCGGTCCTGATGGCCCTGCTGGGAATCTCCCTAGAACCCACCCTCCGCACCGGGGACCCCGCTCACTCGACGGATCTGCTCTGTCCCGCTCCTGCGTCCCCCGCTCATGATCCCGCTGCTCTGGGGACCCAGCGTCTCTGGGTCCCTGGGGCCCTCAGGGGACAAGACAGGACCAAGGCAGAGGCCAAACGCCACCAAGGCTCCTGGTGACAGGCAGATGGGCGCTGGCTCCTGCGTCAGGGGGCCCAGGTGAGCGGAGAGGGCCAGAGCAGGGCAGGTGCCTGAGGCCAGCGGGACGCCTGGGAGGGGGACGCGGCGGAGGAACTGGGAGACCAGAGGCCGGCGAGTCACTTTCCCCAGCTGCCCTGTGACAACGCAGCGGGGAGTGATGGGGCCACCGATTCCTGACTTCAGCAGCAGCACCCAGCACAGGCCGCTACTCGGGATCCCATATTGTGAGTGTGAGTCCAACCTGGGCAATGTGGTGACTTTTACTATGTCACCGAGAGCCCTTTCCACCGGTGGCTTCCCTCAGGGCTGACTTCTCTGAGCCACGTGGTTGGGCCCCTGGCCTCTGCCGCTGATTGAGTTCTGCTAGCGGATGACTGGCAGAATGTTTGGCAACAGCCTCTAATTTTATTCCCCTATCTCTTTCAAACAAATTGCTAAATTGCCCGGTCTGGGTCCAAATTTTTGATCCTCCTGCCTCAGCCTCCCAGAGCGCTGGGATTACAGGTTTATGCCACCATGCTAGGCTCTGTCTTCTATTTTGTTGTTTTTCTAAATGCTATTCTAAATAATCATACTCCTGCAAAGTGTGAGATCTGGAATCATTTCCTGTGGTTCCAGCTCTGGAATTCCATCTTTGTCTGGAAGGAAGGAAGGAAGGAAGGAAGGAAGGAAGGAAGGAAGGAAAGAAAAAGATAAAGAGAGAAAAAGAGCAAGCGAAGCACAGAACTTTCACAGCGAGGCTCTAGCACACAGGATTGCCAGAGGCCTCCCTGGTTCAGCCAGCTCCCCGGGGCCTTGCGGGTGGCGGAGAGCTTATGGAGGGCGGGAGGGGTGGCTTCCTAAACTTCCCTGGGGACAGAGGAGCAGGTCTGAGTGGTCTGGGGCTGGGGGCCGCCCCGAGCGAGGCTCGCACCTCTGGGATCCTTGAGATGTGCGCTCCTGTAACAGGTGGCACAGGCCTCTGAGGGGAGCCAGCTGGAGGCTGTCCTGGCTGGAACCCAGCAGGGCTTTAAACGGGGTGGAGTTTGTGGTTTCAAATGGAGATTCCACAATCCCCGCTTTGGCCTCGAGTCAGATGTTATTACAGGAAAACTCTCATTCAGATGAGCTCACACTGTTATGACCTAATTATTGTCATTATCAGAGTGCAGACAGCCGGGGTGAGGCGGGGTGCTCTGGTAGAAAGGGTCGGGACTGGGGTCCTGAATTCTGATCCTGCTCCTTGCCACCCTGTAGGAACAGAGGTCTGTAAGTGAGAAAAATCAAACAGGGGCCTCTGTGGGTCTTCTAGCTAATTCTGACTAGAGGGAGTTAAAAACCAAACTTTGCTAGAGGAATTTCCCTAGGAAGCAAGTCAATGATGCGGGGGGGGGGCGCAGAAAAAGGCACCAAATGGCCTTGGGACTTATACCAGGGCACTAGAAAAAAAAAAGAAAAATGCTGACAAATGGCACAGAGAGAAAGCCAGGTGCACAAACAGTAACCACCCCCCAATAAAATGTAGGAGAAGCAAGGGGGGTGTGACTAAGTTTGAGGCCGTGTGCGCTACGCCTGTGCACTAACGTACCCGCTTCGTGCACTGTACTCACTCCAGACTCGCTATATCCTTCACTCCAGGGTCATCATGGAGCGCGACAGACGTCCACACGCCCCCTGACTCTCTCTACACCAACCCAGAGCAAGGCACCCTGGCCAACTAGCTGCCCACCCCAAAGAGAAGGCCTCAGAGGTAGGTCGGGGACAAGTAAGCAGACAGACAGACATAAGCTGCAGGTAGACAGCAGAAGAAATGACGGTCGGCAGAGCCGCCCGGAAGTCAGTCCGGTTACAGCCAGTTCTGGGGGGGGAGGGTCACTCTCCCCTATAAACCACGGGCCCACGGGTCCTCCACCTTTCTGAGCCCCTACCCTGATGCTTTCTTATCAGGGCAGCTGTCTGTCTTCTCCATTCTCCCCTTCCTTTTCCTCTCCACAAACAGTTTCGTCAAACTTTGCCCCACGAGTCTATCACGGGGGCTAAGTGAGGACCCTGTGGGGGAGCCGCAAGCCCTGCCCTGTGGGCTGGGTGGCCCCGTCTCTCCTTCGCCTCGCTTCCCTCCTTGGTGAAAGGGCTCATTGTGTCCACGGGGTTCTGGAGAGTGACACATTTTTGTCCTTTTGGACTTGTTAAGCTGGCGCTTTCTCCTTCGAATAGGGAGACTGCCTAGCAAAGAGGCGGAAGCCGTAGTCCCTGGAGAGAGAGGGAGAGATTTCTGATGACATCATTGAAACACCCGAGCCATTTTGAGTTGGGATTTAGTTACCTGCAACCCAAAGAACACTGATTGAAAGGAAAAATGAAAAACAGTTTTTTTGTTTGTTTGTTTGTTTGTTTTTAGACAAGGTCTCCGTATGTAGTTTAGGCTGGCCTTGAACTTGGCTGCAATCTTCCTGCCTCAGCCTCCCAGGTGCTGGGACTACAGGTGTGTGCCACCGTGCCCAGTAAGAACCATGTTTTGAGAGTATATGACTCCCATGTGGCAGAGGCTGAAGCTGGATGGAGGAAGCAAGGTTAATCTGCTCCCAGAAGGAAGGAGAGGATTTAGCAGGTTTCTGAGAGCTGCGGCTTCTATTTAAGTCGGGCACTAAAGACCAAACGGTAGAATGGCTTCTGGCTACAGAGTTGTGTCCTTGGGGTGACTGCAGCTCCCCCACTAAAAAGCCTTCCTGGGAGAACCCAACCTTGCAGGGAGAACCTACTTCACCCCTTTCTTGGGGGAAAAGGAGGTCACTGAAAAGGCCTCAGTCGTGGGCCCTTCCTCTTTCCCTCTGAGGTACCACGTGTGTCTCCCTGGCTTGGGAGCGCCATCTCCCCTCCCCGGTTTGGTTTTTGTTCTCGTGGCCCTGCTTGTGCTAAGTAAGCGCCCAGGACCGGAGCGCACCACACCGCACCGCACCGTTCTTCAAGGCTGCTCCTCGAGGCAACCCTGAGCCACTGCTCCATCGTTCGGCACTCGTGTGGCTGCTCTGCCCCTCCCTCGCCCTCCTTGCGCACGCCCATCGCCTCTGCACAAATAGTTGTGCAGCTCAGCTCTGAATACAATCTTTCTTCCGTGCTCAGCATGTGAGAGGCCCTGGGGTCAACCCCAGCATTGCAAAAGCCAACAACTCGTTATCCTTGCTTATTTTAAACATTTCCCAAACTTCAGGGTCTCTTGTATCACATTTAGAATCCTTTCCCTATGGACGAACCATATGCCTGGTTAAGCTTCACCTACTAGTTTTTATTTTTTCAGTGCTGGGGATTGAACCTAGGATTTCACATATGCTCAGCTCCTCGCTTTTTAAAATATTGGTCTTGTCTTTATTTTTTTCATTTATCTATTTATGCTACCGGGGATCACACTCGGGTCCTTGGGCTTGCAACAGCCTGCCTCGCAAGCCCAAGGTCCCGAGTTCGATCCCTGGCCCGCTATTGTGGTTTTTACATGGGAGGTGTCCCTTGGGACTCTGGCTTGGAGGGCTTGATCCTCGATGTAGCACCGTCTGGACGTGGCATCTACAGAGGAGAGCCGATGGTGTTAGGAGGTAGAGCCCACTTGGAGCGAGGCAAGCCCTTTGAAGGGTATAAGCTGTTCCCAGCCCTTTGCTGTCTATCTCTTTCCCACTCTCTATTTCCGCCGCCAGGAGGTGGGCAGCTCTGTTCTATGATGGTTCTGCCTCCCCACAGGGCGACAGCAATGGACCAAGGGCTGAAGCTTCTCAAACCATGCGTCAGGATACGCCTAACGCTGGTGTTGGCCCCTGCGTGGTCAGCTTCCATCACTGTGGCAAACACCAATATTTGAGAAAGACGAATTGTTCTTTTTATTTTATTTTTTGGTACTGGGGTTCGAACTCAGGTCTGTGTGCTTGCAAGGCAGGTGGTGGAACCACTGAGCTAAATCCCTGGCCCAAAGGTGAATTGTTAAAAAAGCAAATCGAGGGTCAAACAGGCTGAGGCCCTGCCAGGCACTAGGGGAGCCTTAACCCACCTTTCTCATCTTATGGCAGGGACACCCCTGTCATCCGCAGTCAACGCCATCCCTGTCCCTTCCAGGGGTACTGGAAGTGTCTACCTAAAACATGGCTGTCACAAAGCCCGTGGACAAATGGCCTAAACACGCTGCTGTCATGGCGGGGGGACTGTCTCTTACAAGAAAGACTCGTCTCATCTGTAGTGGCAAGAGTGCCCCAGCTAGGAACCTGGAGTTGGAGAAGGGCTTTTGGCTTTTGCTCCCCACTCCCTGTTAGGTAACTGGTGTGTTTGTGAGATGAAACAGCCTTCTTGGTTCAGACCCTGTCCCTCCCTGGTTTTGGGGTTTGCCTGTCTCCAGAAACAGCACACTTTGCTCTCTCCTTCTACCTGATAAAAGACCTGCCCTCATAGTGAAAGAAACTGTTGGGGGTAAATTCACATGACGGAGAAGTTAGTGGTGCCTCCCAATCCGCGAGCCACTCTTTCATGGTTGTGGAAGTTTACACTAGGCACATGGTCATCCAGGAGGAAGACTACATTTCCCAGCGCCCCTTGCAGCAGATGTCATGTGATCAGGCTATGTTAATGGCGTGTGAGCAAAAGAAATTTGTGGTTTTGCGTCAAGCCCTTCAAGACAGTCTTCCTTGTTTGTTTTTTTCCACCTTCAGGCTGGGGTAGGGCCATAGTTTGGAGGCTCTAGGGACAAGCACAACACCTTAGAAATAGATGGCTGAGAGCAAGACATTAGAGCCCTGGCTCCCAACACCTTCACCAAGCAGAGAGCAGCCTGGCGTGGACAGCTACAGGAGACAGAGCTACATTTCTGTGTGATGTCGGCCACCGTTGTTTTGAATTTGTCACAGGTAGTCAAATTTATATCCTAAGTTGTGCTTTCAGTTCAGAAGTGACAGGAGGCAGAAGGGGTGGTGTGGACATGGGGTCACGTGGCATGTATATGGTACGTTTAACGGCATAACCTGTGGTGACAAAGGACTAAAATTCTCGGCACTTAAACATCTTTGACAACACATTTCTGCCCCGCACGTACTGGACAGTCATGAAACACCACATCGGTGAGGACTAAAACAGGCACAAGATAAACGTCCTCCCCTATCTAATGTTACCTTTCCCCAAAAGGTTAAAACACGCAGAAACCCTTCTCTAAATCTAAACAGGCTCTCTGAGGCCTAAGTGAGACGCCTTGAAAGTTTGCAACGTTGATGTACAACTTTAGTTAGAATACAGGTGTTCCTGGAAGATGATCAGAGAGCTGGGTCCCTGGAAGATGGGGTCTCAGACTCTTTCTCGGGTCTTCATTCCATAATAAACACCTGGCCTCCCACCCTGACTGTGTGATTCCTCTCTTGGAGACTCGCTCTTGACAGTGCACTCGGTGACCTCAGTAGACTCCAGTGTTTCCTGTATTCCTTGCCTGTTGGTTAATTCTTTAACTGCCCATGTCCCCTGCCCCCTGTAACCATCCAGTACAACACAACCACACAACCGGCGTGTGGAGCTCTGTCCCTCCTGCCTATCTGTCTCTCTGTCCTCCTCTCTGTCAGTCGGTTCTGCCTTCAGGCCAGGGAGAGGGGTGACATTACCGGGACCCTAACCCTGGATCCAGAAGGAAGACGGTGGGACCATCTTGGGAAAAGCAGGCCCCGTCTCCACAGGGAGCCACTGTGGGGGGAGTCTGGCTGCAGGAAGCTGAGGGGAAAAGGTGCAGGTTTCCACGGTGGCCTTGCGGCCGCCCTGGAGTCCCTTCCCAACACCACCCGGAACTGTGGAAAGCAGAAGTGTGCACAGGCTGTGCCTGCTCCTGCTTCTGGAGAACCTGGTGCTGGGACAGCTGGGTGAGACGGGCTCCGGGCTGGATACCCACAAATGTTCCAGCGCATGACCTGCCCCTGCAGCACTTGGAAAATTCAAGGGCAACAGAGCGGGAGATTGATGCACGTCACTCAAAATGTGCCTTTCTTTCTTTTTCGCAGCAGCAGGAGGGTAGATTTTGAGTTGGATATTCAGAGAAACTAACACAGTCCCGACACAGACAGAGGCTGCCATGGAGACAGAGGGGCAACTCCCAGGCCTGTAACCTGTTGCTCATTAAAAGCATGACTTGGGGCTGGGAATTTGGCTCAGTGGTTCCCCCACCCGCCTCGCAAGCGCAAGGTCCCGAGTTCGATCCCTGGTACAGAAAAAGTAAAATCGTGATTTGTGTTTTTTCCTCACAGGAACTTAAAAGTGATCTTTGCTAGAAACTGTGACTCTTCACTCGGGTCTACCCTTGCCCAGTGGTAACTAAAAGTAGAATAAAGCTTGAATTCTGTCCCGAGAAACTCTTAAACTCCTCTGTATTGCCTACCAGCCTGTTAGTCATTCAGGGGGTGTCTGTGTATGAGTCCTACACTTTCCTAGCTTACCTCCCCGCCCTTCAAGGCTGGGGGTGCTACGTCCGGGAGTCTCCATCGTCCTGGACCTATAGTCACCTCGGCTTCCAGGAAAGCCCCCATGGCTGAGACTCCCCAGGTCATGAGGCTCCCCCATGGGAACTGAGCTGCCCCTCCAAGTCCCGAGGAGCCAACCTGAGCTGTGAAACCAGGACTGAGATAATGATCGGCCTGACCCCCCAGCACCCCAGGACCCCACAAAACTGGTCTCCGTTCTTTTGTGAACAGGCCTGGCTGATCCCCCTCATGAGATGTGCCCCCCTCCAGTTGCTCAGGCTGGAGTCCTTTCCCTATTTCCCCTTTTATTTTCCAATTACAACTTCAGCCTGTAATTCCATTCTGTCATTTTGGTTTTAATTTCTATTATCATGAAACCAAGGATCCACACTAGCTGGTGACGAAACTACAGACCTCTGCAGGTGCAGGAATGGCTTAGAAAAGCTGTCCCCTTTTTTGTTATTATTTGTTTGTTAGCTTGAGACAGGGTCTCGCTATGTAGATCAGGCTGTTGGCTTTGAACTGACCATGCAGCCCAGGCTGGCTTTGAACTCATGGCATCCTCCTGCCTCAGCCTCCAGAGTGCTAGGATTACAGGTCTGTGCCACCATGCCCCGTTCCAAGCTGTTCTTTTATAAAAATAAATTTATATTTGTGTGCATTAGTGAAGTCAACGGGATAAAGGCAGAGCAGATTTTCTGATATCCACCTCCAACTTTCTGCCTAGATCTTTCCTTCCATAGGAAGAAGAAATTGGGAGCCTGGCCTAGAGCGTGGTGAATTCAGGTGTCTGTTGTCTGAGAGACTTCATTTGCTTAAAAAGGCAACCCTTGCTTGTGAACCTGCTCCGTTCCAACTCCCGTAGCCTGAGCCACCACCTTTTGCCCCAGAAGCCCACGCCCCCCCTCCCATTACTCTACTACTGTAAGAGGCAGTCTTGCACCTCATACTGAATGTGTAGCTCTCATGCTTAGGCACATAATGAAATGTGTGTGCCTTTTCTAGTTGCCTGCATATTGCCAGTTCATCTTGTCAGGCTTGATCTGGCTATGACCTGGTTGATGAATATGTTTAATTCCAAGCTACAATTTAGCAGATACAAAACAATCCACAGCCCTCAACAAAAGCATGCCTTTCCTTCAGGTGGCTAAAGACCAGACATAGGCTGTGCCTTCTCCGGGCAGATAGAACACAGACCGGGATGTTATACAAAAGAGACAAGACTGCAAAGTATAGTACTGCATCTTCCCAGTGCCCAATAACCTCCATACATCTGCCTCAATCAAAGCACGGACCCCTGTGTATGACAGAGGTGCCAGACCCCTCCCAAATCCCCTATGAAACTCCCTCCCTTTTCTTTGTTTGCTGCTGACAGCCTTCTCACCCTCAGTCAACCTGCACCCACGTGAATGAAGTCTGTGCCTCCTTGCCTTCCACTTGCCTGCTTGGGTGGTCTCCTGCCATTTGCCATACATTTCACAGACTAAAGTTATGGAAACGTCAGGTGGAGGAGAGTAAATTGAAGATCGTCCTACAGTAGCATTCCAGGTTAACGTCATTTTCTCATTTTGCCTTTTTCAGCCACTGTTTATATATCAGCAGGAAAAGAAGGATTTAAATGAGACAAGACATGCTTTCCCATTGACCTGGCTAGTCCAGAGGCTGAGGTTGGAGGACTATTTGAGCTAGGGCGTTGGAGGCCAGCCCGGGTTCCACAACAAGACCCCATGTCACAAAAACAAAAATAAAGCAAGCAAACAAAAAGACGAGACAAGACTGTTGCCCTGTCTGTTTAAATAAGAAGATTTAAGCGCCGGGGATTTAGCTCAGCGGTTCGGTGGCCTGCCTTGCAAGCGCAAGGACCCGAGTTCAATCCCTGGTACAAACAAAACAAAACAAAACAACACAAATAAATAAGAAGATTTAGCAGAGCCATGGACAGTAATAGTCAACAGAAAGACAACAGAAAAAGACAACAGAAGAGAGAGATGTCAATGAAAACTTGTAATTCTTTGAACAATACTTTTGGGGAAAAAGCAGGGTCGTTGCCAGGGATGGCAGATGATGAATGAAGACAACTGGTCCAGCTCTGGGACCCTAAACTTGGCTCTCACAGGACGTAGCAGCACAAGTTCTGGAGTCTGCACATCTTCTAAGGCTCCTTGTCAGAAGCAAAAACCAGGGTGGGGATTCAGCTCAGTGGTGTTGTCACCTGCCTCACAAGCACAAGGTCTCGAGTTCGATCTCTGGTACCAAACAAAAAAACCCCAAACCAAACAGAATATAAATTGTGGGTCCCAGTCCCATTCAGATGTGCATCAGAACCTCTGGGCCTGCTCGCTGGGCCTAGGTCTCAGCATTAGCAAGCTCTCAGGATCCAGATGTATGTCTGCCAAGAACATCTGGAGAAGTCCCATTCCTAGGCACATTTGGAGTCCCTTGGAGAGCTGATCGAAGTTCCAGTGCCAGGTGACACCCCAGAACAGTCAAATCATAATCTCTAAAAGTAGGACAAGGCCAGGTATTTAGCGCAGTGGAACCGTGCCTGCCTTGCAAGCACAAGGTCCTGAGTTCAATCCGTGGTACTAGAAGTGTGTGTGTGGGGGGTAGGACAAGAAAATGAATAAAGAAGGACAGGCAACCAGTATACCTTTCAGAAAACAGCTTTACTGAGGTACACTCTGTATCTACTAAAATGTGCCCATTTAAAGTATTCCCTTTGATACAGTTGGACCCATGTGAACAGTACTACAACCAAGATCTGGAACATACGTAAAAAGTACCAATAAATTCAATGAAAAAAAAAAAAACTTTGGGTATTCTTGGGCCTGGTGGACATGAGGAGAAGGGTGATTGAGGGAAATGCAGCCGCAGGTGGGTAGGCATAGTTGTAGCTTTCTCATTGTCTGTGCTGCCCTCTCATTGGCTACACGGTCTGCTCCACACCTTCTCATTGGCTATACGGTCTGCTCCACACCTTCTCATTGGCTACAGGGCCCACGCCACATTTTCTCTTTGGCTAAATTCCCTTCTCATCGCCCAATCCACAGGGAGGCACATGACCAGGAAAATTCTCTTTCCAAAGGCATAGGCTGGATCCTAGCACTCATCTTCCTGCCCTTCCCTCTCAGTAATTCATGAAGTCATGAGGATTACATTTAGAGGGTAAGGTTATCGGATCACAGCAAGGCTTCTCAACCTCGCTCACACATTGGAGTCACCTGAAGAGACTTTAAAAATACTGATTGATGGATAAACAAACTGTGGTACATCCATAAATGAAATACTGCCCAGCAATTTAGACTAGATCTCAAAAACATTAGGCTGAGTGAAATGAACACTCACAATGTACGCAGAAGAGTGCATCCCACGTAGTATTGTTGAGAAGAAATGCTAACAATGACAAAGCTAATGTTTTTAAGTGAGTCAGTGGTTGCCAGGTAAGATGAGTCACTCCAAATGGATACAGTCTGATCACCTTCATTCCAGTTACAGTAATGAAAATGTTCCAGCTCTTATGTAGGTTCACCATTGTTTAAATGCATAGGAAACCAGAATTGCCTTTTATTTTTACTGATTTTGCGGTTTGCGGTGCTAGAACCCCAGGCCTCGCACGCGCTAGGCCAGCTGCACTCCCAGCCCGTCTCAGTTCTAACAGTCTGATCCTTCATTCCAGTTACAGTAATGAAAATGTTCCAGCTCTTATGTAGGTTGACCGTTGTTTAAATGCATAGGAAACCAGAATTGCCTTTTATTTTTACTGATTTTGCGGTTTGCGCTGCTAGAACCCCAGGCCTTGCACGCGCTAGGCCAGCTGCACTCCCAGCCCGTCTCAGTTCTGAGCCCCTTGGTGGTTAGTGAGCCCCTGCCTGGAAAAGCTGATGAGGCAGGTTTTGACCGGAAGTCTTCTTCATGCTGAGTGTGCGCTTGCAAAGGCCTCCACAGCACACATTGCTGCTCTTTCCTCCTAGTGACAGCTCCAGGAGTATCTAACAATAGAGACAGGGAGCTGGGTGCCAGGCCCGGCTGCTTTGTTCCTGGCCGTGGCTCCCTGACAGTTCCCGTGAAGGCTGCTCATTGTATGCCCTTTGGGCATCTGAGAATGAGTTCTCCGGTGACCCCACAATTCCAGCCAGCTCTGGTTTGTTACATTTATTTATTTATTTTTTGTGTCCTTCATTTTATTTTACTTTTTCCTCACTGAGTTTATTGGTACTTTTTAGGTATACAGTACAATTACATTCACCTTTGGGACCTTGTACCTTCGCATGACAGGTCTTGGTTCTCATTTTTTCCCCTTGTCCCCGCCCTCCCTTCACCCCTCCACCCTCCCCTATACTCAAAGATGTTGTTTCCATATTTTTCCTTTTCTCATATTTTTCTTTCCCCTTATTTCTTTTCCCCTACCCCTCCCACTTCCCCTACACCTTTAGCCCTTTTCTTCCAATTTCAAAATACCCAAAGGTTTCTGCTCTTATCCTCCAATTCTTCTTCCTTTGGAGAACTGATCAGCCATGCAGATGAGGCCAACACAGTGGTTCTGGTGGTCTAGGATGAGATACCTGGGCCCAACCACCCTGTCAGGTGTGTTCAGACTGTGGCCTCAGGATAGAACACACCTGGCTTGCCTGGCTGCTCTCATTGGGGAGGGATTGTTTTGGGGCCACATAGCAACACTAGTGTGTCCAAGCTGGAGGACACACCCATGCCTTCCTCCTTTGGCGGAGGAGTTGTTCTGTTGCTTGGCTACGACCCTTTCATTCCGGCGGACAATATTAGTTTATCGTGGTGTGGAGGTTAAATGGAAACCATTGTTGCTTTTACACTCCCTCCTGCTCTGCCGCTGATACATGGGGGTGCTCTCTTCCATCGACTTCTTTCCTGCCCCTGTCGTTCCCTGAGCTGGAGACTAGGAACAAGGCCCGTCTTGCACAACCCTCTGGGGGAGCCCTTTACTCTGCGCTGTGCGAATGGCGCCCCCTGGCGGCGGACATCTGCCTTTTGGGTGAGGACGGTGGTGAGATGACGTTGCAGCTCCAGGGGTCGCAGCTGAGTTACTCCACGCGGCTGCTTCATGGGAAGGATTGATCAGGGAGGGCTCCCAGCTGGGCAGGGCAGGGACCTTACCCTGGTTGGGGTGGGGAGTTTTCTCTCTCTATAAAGGGATAAAGCTCGGTTTAAAGAGATTAGCCGCTTCTTTGCTTTGTACCTCCTCTCCAGGCCATCCTGAGGTGTGCGATCGACAACCACGGGCCCAGTCGATCATTTTTGTTGGAATCAGTGCTACGAATGTCCATCAGGAAACTTCACAGCCGACTCGACCGCCAGCTGGGACAAATGCTCAGCCATTCAAATCCGGGGCCCTGCAGGTGAAATGAACAAAGTGAGGAGACGTGGGCGACATAACGTGCGCTGCAATGAAAGATGCTTGGACTGTTTATTCCTCAACCCACTGAGCCCAGCTGGTCAGGAAGGGTCTCCGGGAGGAGGACCGAGCTTCGGCGCCTGGGGAG